CCTACTGTAGGCTAGGCCCAGGCTGGTGATAGTAGACGTGCGAATAAAGAAATTATTCAATCAATGGCTAGGCCCTAGGCCTAGATGACCTGCTGGGTTAGGCCTACTCTAGGCCCCTCTCCCCTCTAAGCCAGGCTAGCCTAGGCCTGCTTGCTTGAGATTTAAAAAAACGTTTGGTCAGGGGTGATCATATCGCCACCGTTTTCACGAAGAGACACAAAATTCAATTTCGACGTAAACAACGTTTTGAGAGAATCGTGTTTGAAGTGGACTAGTACTACTTCACAAATCCGTAAATTTCACTATCAAGATAACGAAATTTGGAATATTTTTTTACATATGTTTAAAGATAAACCATTAAACAATCCAAATGCGTAAATTTATTTTTCTTTACTTAACTGTTAATTAGCGTGAAAAGTTTGTGTCTCTTGGTAAAAACGATCAGAATAAACACAGCATTATGTTAGGCAGAATCATTAAAATTTGAAGTTGCAAATATTTTTCCAAGTTTAGCTCTATATTAAAGAGCTACAAATTTGAAATAAAATGAAGGTTCAATCATTGCAATCGGGTAACTAGAACAAAAGTTACGCCTTTTTAAATATTTTATTATTTTAGAAAATTGAGGAAACTTTTTGTATTCGACAATTGTGACCAGTGCCCCAAATAATGTAATGTATTTTGCTCATTTTAGACAGTACAAACATTACAAAGATACTATACAAAGTAATAATTGTTTTAAATAACTTTTTTATTTTTTCTAACTGTAACTGCGCAAAATCATGCACTACCATGTAAAGTGAAACAAAATGGCCGCCAAATTTAAAATGGCCGCCAAATCCAAAATGGCCGCCAAATCCAAAATGGCTGCCTAATATTTAAAAAAAAAAAGATAGTTTATTTTTTTTACTAAATAGGTGGCTAATAATTCACTTTGTTTGTTTACATGTATACAAAATGGCTGCCAAAATCCAAGATGGCTGCCAAAATCCAAGATGGCTGCCAAAATCCAAGATGGCCACCAAAAATCGGCTTTTACAAAACTAATTTGTTGTTGCGCAAA